TCCATATGGTGACAGCTTTCCCACACGAACCTTTGAAACATCTTTCGGACAAAGTGCACAAAGGAATAACAAACCAAACAATGGATTACGCTGTTAGTTAACAACACACAGTTTCATCTTTGTTCTGAAGAAGAAACAACATTCTTATCAAGATAAATCTTATGTTTCAAATGGACCTTGATAAGATATGCTTCATGGTAAAGCTTAGATGTCAATCCCTTGGTAAAAACCAGTCCTTTGTATGACAAGTCTACCAACTTAAAAAGGAAAATTAAATATGGAACAACTTACATTTTTTTGGCCAGTTAAGATAGATATTTCAATCTCCTAAAATAAAAAAACTGGAAAATAGAAAGGAAAACAAGGAACAATAAAAGCAGAACAGCCAGAACGAAACCAATATGAACAGTATGAATACAAGGCCGATTGGCCATATTGTTATAAGGATTTTAACAGGAGTACTTTTCCATGTTGACCACTTAAAATCTTATAAATCCCTAGTGGAAGATAAATACAACATGAAAAAAATAAAGGAATGATATGCAATAAAAACCTCAACTAAACTTGTATTTATCCAAGTCAGCAGATTAAGCAGAGGGAGTAAGCTTTCGATTAATGCAAACACTTCTTTGCTTAACGCTAAAGATGAAGGCATCATTTTAGCCCCCCAAGAAAATTAAGAGCTTTTGAAGAGTATAATATTCTAAACAAAAAAAAAATCACATTTTATGTAAAAATTATCCTAGTCGGTGCTCATACATACAATATTGTATGCATGATAAGCAATAAATTTAAATTTTAAGCTATTATTTCAATGTTAAAAAAGAATGAAGACAGAGATTTATCACAATCATAAAATGGTATTAGAATAATGAAACTGGACGAGTGGCAGGTCAATGGAACAGAAACTTTGAAATACAAACCTGGTGAGTTGAACCTGCCACTCCACCTATCTCAATCTCTTCAAGAAGCACAGAAGCAATTTTCTCACCAACATCAGCTGCAGGTATCGGCCCTTTCTTGTCCTCACCTTCAATATCTTCTGCTTCTCCCCCATACGAAACTGTAGTATCAGTAGACATGCAGCAACCTGAAGTAGTTTCAGCAACTAGTGAAATTCCATATCCCGGTGAGCTGCATTAAGAGAAAAAATACTTGAAATTTCCTGGTTACGATAAAAAAAAGAAATTCCGAAATATATATGGTGACCGTACTTTCCGGATCCGGACTCTAAGCGCTTTCTATAATCACTAGCAATATAAACATCAGGAAGCAAGAGCAGCATAAATCATTTCATTTCCAAGCTGAGGACTCACTCTGGTAGTGAAAGCTTCCCCTCTGATTCTCTTAACCATTCCTTCATGGTCCACATGGTTGCCTGTACCAGAAAGTGTAATAAATATCACAAACAAAAAATTGACGTAGCATTAGATTAAAAAACTCACTCTTCGGTGCTGAACAGTAGGAATTGTCAAATGAACTTCACCACCACAATGAGGTGAAACTCCACGTCTCTTTAGTTCCAACTTTAATCCTTCTTAAGGAACACCCAAAATGCTTCAACATGGGAAAGGTCGTGGAACGGAATGTATCGACAGATGGGCCCTTAGAATCATTTGTAATCCCTGAAAATAACATATGGAGTAACAACCACTTAACTTTTGTATCACAACAAGGAAATTATATGCACAAGCATTATGGTGAAAATCAATCCCAGGTTCGATTGAGGACAATTCAATACTACTTTACATGTATTACATATTCAATCCACCTAAGTTATCAAAAGTAGTCTAATCATACGAATCAACTCCCTATTCTATCAATTTGACCTATGAAACTTGCTTTCATACTTCAACATTGAAATAATATACCTCTCGATTGTATGACATTAAACATTGCACGACAATACTGCAAAACTCAAACGACTTTTTCTAGCAAGCGTGACATGTTACAAAGGAGTATATTAACAGAAAATCAAAGGAGCCCACACAAGAATGAGATTCGAAGCACAAAAAGGGATTACCTTTTAGAATTATAGCTAGCGGTTTCCTACCAAATAATCCAAGAAAGATCAAGGGCTCCAAAAAATACCCAATTGCTCTACTCACACCACAATCATGCGCCAGATTACTCCCTCCGATAATTATCCCAGGCTTGTATTTCAATTTGGTACCTATCAAATCGAACCAATAGCTTTTTAGTTATTTGGTATTATTTTCAACTCGAAAGCTAATAGCTCAGATGGGATAAAAAAGGGGTTACCGGTTTCGTTGATTTCAACGACACAGTCATCGGAGAGCTTTTCAAAAAGATGAAGGAGGGAAATCTCGTGTGGCCGGAGACCAGGTAAGGAGTCGTCGGCGTGGATGTCATCAATGAGAATAGGAGTTGATTTTAACGTTGCTAAGAGTAAACTTTGCCTCATGTTTTGACTTCCCTTCAGTTTCTTACAAGTAATCTTACCCATTTATTTTCCTCCTCCTTCGCGTTGATCAGAAGGGAGGGAGGCAACGGCTTTGTTTGAAACGGGAAGATTTGTCCGGGAAGAAGATATTGAAGGGTTTTAAGATTTCACTAAATTCTAAATTTAATAAAGAAAGGAGTGGGTTATATTTTAGAAGCCCATTTCACGAAGGGAAGGGAACGGAAAAGGAAGGGATATTTTATGGGCTTTTTTGGCCCAATAGGGCGTTTAGTTATCCATCCTAATTTATTGATTTTAAACAGACTCGACATCTCGATGTGACTAGCTCATTAAAAATTATTATTGAAAAAAAATTAAAATTAGAAATTAAAAAATGTAACTCGTCTCATCGGGCAGTTTTGGTTAAATTTTAAAAAATTAATTAATTAAAAATTAATATTTTTATTAAAATAATATTGTTTACAAACTAATAAAATTTATTTATATTTTCTAAGTTCTTAATGATGTCGAGAAGTGGTCGAATGATAATGACGTGAAACTTGTCGAGTACGTAGGGGTCGTCGACCTTTATCGTCATCGTCGTCGTCTTCATCTTGTCGAGGAGGTGTACTTAACACACCCTGAGATCCACCTTCGAAATAGGTGATGGGCTTATGGTATTTGATGCCATTATTGTCGTTACTGAATCGACTTGGCGGCTATGTTTTTAACCATATACGATATGATCTCATTCACCCTCACCCGCATATTCTGTTGAAGATGTTTGAGTGTGTTGCATTGCATCCTATGAACCTCTAACCCAAGTCGGATGAGTCTCGGTTGAAGTATGATAGAAACTGAAACTAGCATGAGATGCATAATAGTAATCTTTAGTTGTAGATGCTGAAGCATAAAAAGACGTCAATCATTTCTTCTTGGACTTGGGGGATCTAGCATGATGTTGTTCTTATTCCCCCTTTGTTGTGTTGTTGTGAGATATAGTTTCCCATTTGCTTCGTAATTTCAGAGATAGAGAGAATGGTCGAAATCTAGGTCCATCAGTGTAATCTTGTAACGCAGGAGAAGCGATAGGTGACATTAATTCCATAGCTCGATGTAGTAAGCGTGCTTCACCGATAAAGTTTTGGTATGTTTCCCACGTGTACCAATTCTATGGAGCGCGTCCATCTCAACGATTTACGTAGGAATCGGTTTATGCAATGCATACTGTCGTAGTACTCTATTAACAGTGTGCCACTCAACAATCGCAAAATGTAATAATGGCATCGTGACACACCATAAATTAGACCCCTCAAAAAATTGCGATGGCAATAACCGATAGATCTCATCATCAACATACGTAAGCCAAGAAAATTGTAAATATTAAATATCAAAGTTAATATATATATATATATATGGTTTAAAAAAATTTTAAAAAATAATAAAAGAACAAATGTATACTACATATTGTTCGACGATGTCGATCATTGTCTATATATCTTTTACAACGACACCCGATAACTTCATCTCAGTTATTTTATGACGTCATCTAAAATATTTAAAAATAGAAAAAGATTAAAAAAAATAAAAATTAAGTTAATCAAATTTAAAAAAAAGTTAAAAAAATATCTTCCAACAAGAGGAAACTCGACTGGGGCTATTGTAATCGACGTAAAAAACAAGAAGAGATACCAAGCACATGATTGTAGCAATATTAGATAGCCTGCTACATCGGCTTTTTGACCTCGTTATACAATTACAACCTCGCAAAGCTCTTGGGACATAAATGCTAAATCGCCGAGCCCTAACTGGTATTACGACACTCAGTGATGTCATTTAATATTTGAAGTTACTGAGTGTGCATCAAATTAACGGATTTATCTTGTAATAATACCCCTCTGATCAGTTGAAGAAGTATGCTTGGGATACAAAATAACCTCGTCCTCGTTAGAGTCGACCGTCACTTAGAATTCAGACTCTAACCACGTCATCCGTACCCGATAGCCAACGATGAACTCAGATGGTGACAACTTTCCCGAAACTTGGTAGATCAACGTGATGGGTTGTAATTGTTCCACCTCACCATGAGGGCTCTATTCAGAGGAACACCGAGTTGGTAAGCAACGTCTTCCAAAGTAATCGTCACTTCACCACTCGAGAAATGGAAAGTATGTGTCTTGGGCCGCCAACATTCGATCAGAGCCTCAATCAACGCCGAGTACACCTTGAAGTCACGTATAAATATGGCTAGAAATAGACCAGACTGCTGAAGATATATCAACATCCTCTGATGCAGATCTCTCAAAGTCATCTCACGCTGATGAATATTCCGTTCTTCTTCTGGTCGGAGTTCGATTGATGAAATATGGACATTGTTGAGGCACAACATGTCTACTCGGGAAGCCATTTTTTAGTATTTTCACATAAAGTAGGATTTTTTATAATTTTTTGGAGTTAGGGTTTGATGAAAAATAAAAACCCCAAACCCTTATTTATAGTTCCAATTCCAACGATTATAATGCAAAAATCCAGTGGAACTCATCACATTGAGGTGACGAGTTTCAGGTGATCATATTTCGTAATAATACCCGTCCGATCAATGGAGAAGATATGCTCGAGATGCAAAAATAACCTCATCCTCAGTAGAGTTGACCATCACATGGAATTCGGACTCCAACCACGTCATCCGTACCCAATAGCCATCGATGAACTCGGATGGTGACAGCTTTCCTGAAACTTGGTAAACCAATGTCGTGGGGTCGTAATTGTTCTGCCTCACAATGAGGGCTCCATTCACATGAACACCGAGTTGGTAAGTGACATCTTCCAAAGTAATCATTGCTTTACAATTCGAGAAATGAAAAGTGTACATCTCGGGTCTCCAACGTTCTACCAGGGCCTCAATCAACACTGGGTACACCTTGAAGCCACGTACAAATATGGATGGAAATAGACCGGATTGCTGAAGATATGGATAGAAAGTCATCCCACGTTGACGAATATTCTGTTCTTCTTCTAGTTAGAGCTCGATTGACGAAATATGGACGTTGTCGAGGCACAACATGTCTGCTCGGGAAGCCATTTTTTCAGGATTTTCATAGAAAGTTTGATTTTTCATAATTTTTTAAATTTTAGTGTTTGATAAAAAATCAAAATCTCAAATCCCTATTTATAGCTCCAATTCCAATGACTATAATACAAAAATTCGATTGGAACTCGTCACCTCGAGGTGATGAGTTCTAAGTGACCACTGCAAAGTGACCGTAGTAGCTGCCAATTGACCAACGACTAGTTTTTTGAATTTGAAGGAACTCGTCACCTCGAGGTGATTAGTTCCCCTCTTTTTTTAATTTTTAATTTTATTTTTTTTCAATAATAATTTTTTAATGGACTCATCATGTCGAGGTGACGATTCTGCTTAAAAATAATAAATTAATGACCCATATGGAACTCTCTCATTTAGGTCTATTAAAAATCATATTTCAAAGAACACGATACCTCGAGGTGACGAGTTCGCCCGACATTATAGCAAATGTCGTAGATCCTTAATTAAAATTTGAGGATGGGTAAACCCGTAATTTTTTATTCTAAACACCCTATTGGCCCAAAAAGCCGGTTTTGTGGTGAAATTGACCCAATATAGTGGGTTAAAAGATTTAGTCATTTAAGTTATCTTCAAAATTATTTTGGGATCTACAACAAATGTTAGTGTAGAAAAACTCGTCACATCGACATGACGAGTTATAATAAAATATAATTTTTATTAAAATTTATCACATTAGAATGAAAACTTCAAATAAAAGAATATTTTTTAATAAAATTTGTCACGTTGTCACGTTGACGTGATAAATTTCCCTCCACTGTAAGATTTATCGTAAATCCTTAAATTATTTTGTTTGGTTTTGTATTAGGCTATATAATTAGTCCACCTATAATATTGGACCAATTTTGCCAGATCTTATGACAAAAAGGTTCTAGTTCATGGACTGGGTTCTAGTATTTGGCCTTTTATGTAAAATAAATATTTAAATTATTTTATTTTATTAAAATATATGTCTAATATTTTATTTTGTAATTAATTTCTGGCCACTTATTTAGAAAGTGTTATATATCTCCAATATGTTCTTCAAGTTAAAATTAAAGTATTTTGGGACTAAATTGGAGTATGTAATACTCGACTTGAAACAAATTTTCAGGTGGGATCTGAATGTTTCCGAGGCATGATGTTTCTTGAGATAAAAACGACTTTCTATTAACTTTTCAGTGCATTTTGAAATGTCTCAATCGGACATCGAAAATTCAAGATAAATTTATTTTAACAAAGACAACGCTTGCAGAAAATTGAATATGATAATTTAAATTTATTTTTTTAATTATTTGTAATTAAATTTAACTTTATATTTTACATGATCTATTTAAGACAATTTAGGATCTTTTTATTATTTTAATATTGCTTTTCTTAATCAATGTATATTGCATCAATGAAAAGATGTTAATTTTTTAGGGTTTTAGGAAGTCTATTATTAGACACTTATTTTATAATTAGGAAGAGAGGAGAAATAGGAAGTAGCTAATAAAAAGCTTTTTGAAAGAATTATTTCTTCATTCAATTTTTTGTTTTATATTTCGTTCTTTTTTGGATTCGTGTCTTATTCAGATATTTGGATTAATTGATATGTTGAATCTTGTAAGTTTGTTTCGTTTTAAGGATGAGTCTGCCACGTACGACGAGCATTACTGAGCATCACTGACGATGAGCACCATTAATTTAGTTTATAAAAGTTTAAAATTCTAAAGTACTCAAACGTATAATTAAAAATTAATTAAAAATTTAAAGGTAAATTATTTAGAATAGAATACTAATTATATTATTTTCCATATTTTTTTGGTAAACTGTACCACCCAACTATTTAGTCATTTTAGTTTTACCACCGATCTTTTAATTTTGTCAATTAGACCACATAACTATTTAATTATATTTAATCAAACCAGTTGTCGTTAATATTTAATGAAAATGTTGATGTGACAGTTAATCAAATTGACATAATTATACATTTACTCCTCAATATTAATACAATTTATTAATTTAGTCCTAATTTAAATTAATTTAATAAATTTAATCTCCCAATCAGATGATGACACTTTTCACCACTTAATTAGGTTATATTTTAATTTTAATTTAATATCTAACCAACTAGGATCGAACTCACCCCTAATAGGAGAGATATGTGGCAGACTCATCCCTAATCTAAAGGTAGTTCTGCCAGCAATACCCACTAATAAACACATTATAAGTTATGACATTAGAAATAGCCCCCCAAATTTCGACAATCTCTATAACCCGAGTAGCTTTTCTAGTATTACCTCTCCTACAGAACCCACGAATTACACTAGTACAGGCTATAATATCAAGAATCTTACCATGATAAACCATGCCCTCCAGAAGCTTTAAACATTCATCCAATTCACCATTTCTAACAAATTTACGCAATTGATTATTGCTATCAGATTCCTCAAAGCCATAAATGGAACTCGATGGACTGGACAAAACATTTAATTAGATTAAATTTAAAATATAATATAATTATTGGTGACAAGTGTCATCATTTGATTGAGAGATTAAATTTATTGAATTAATTTACAACCAGGAAAAAATTAATAAATTGTATAAATACTAAGAAATAAATATATAATTATATAAATTTTATTTATTACCACGTGAGCACGTTGGAAGTGACTGCCTCCCTCTCATCGTTATTCTCAATTACGATGATCGATAGTTCAATTTTTTTCTTTAAGATTTTTTTTTGTAAAATTATATTTAATTTTATATTTGATAAAATTTAATTATATTTTTATAATTAAAATTTATGTTTAATTATGTTTGACAAAGTTTAATTATATTTTTATGATTTTTTAATAAAGTAATACTTTATAGTAGATGGATCATTTGTGAGTTGTGACCCTAAGTTAAATTTAGTAATCTTCAAAACATAACGATTCCCTATAAGAGCTGCATACGCCCGTCACTGGTAGTGGTCCTTTGTTCTTTGATCGAGTCATTGAGCGATTAATGCAAACGTTGGAAGTGACTGCCTCCCTCTCATCGTTATTCTCAGTTACGATGATCGATAACCTAATTTTTTTCTTTAAGATTTTTTTGTAAAATTATATTTAATTTTATATTTGATAAAATTTAATTATGTTTTTATAGTTAAAATTTATGTTTAATTATATTTGAAAATGTTTAATTATAATTTTATGATTTATTAATAAAATATTAAATTAATTATTTAAAATAATAGAATATACTTTTGTTTTATATATACTATTTTTAAATTTCGGGTCTAAATCTTGAACATGAGACTTTTAGTATACAATCTAAATTAATCAATGCCAATAAGTGTTAGTATGAGTAGTTGAGATTCAGAAAATTGAGCTTATAAGGCCAAATTTGAATCCTACCACTGTCACTTTTGGTGAGCAATCTATAAATCCTAATTAGGTCTTAAGGGTGTGTTTGGTTGGGGGAATGTGAGATTCCCATGGGAATGGAATCCACATTTCCCCGTTTGGTTGGCTGGGAATGTCATTCCCGGTAATCTTACATTACCAATAGTGGATTTTTTGGGGTATATTACCGGGAATGTCATTAGCCTCATTTCCTTAGGTATTGTTGGATTACCGACGTTTTGGACTAAAATGCCCTTAAAAAATTTCTTTCAAAAATATCATTATTCTATCATTGAATAATAAAAATTATACGAATGTTAAATTACAAATTTATCCTTAAACTATTTTAGATTTACAAAAAAAAATCTATAATTAAAATTTTATATGAAGTTCAGGGGTTAAAATAAAATTTTACCCTTTCATTAAACCTTTTTATATTTTTCAATTTTGTAAAAAATATATAAATTTATGAATTTAAATTTTTTAAAGAAAATATATAAATATTTTCCAACTTGTTAAAAAAACAAATATATAATAAGGACAATTTGATTAAATATACATTCCAATAATATTTTATTCCTTTAACCAAACACGATAATCTTATATTCTTGCTAAATCAACCAAACATAAAATAGAACATTCTCAGTATTCCTATTCCCTGGTAATCCTACATTCCCACTGGTAATCTTACATTCCGTGAACCAAACGCATCCTAAGTATGTCCTGACCCTGGACTAAAGAGGTCTCTCTTGACTTAAACAATATTGAAATTTTATCCTTTCCTACTTCGGGACCGAAAAAGAATATAAGATATTTTCAAAGAATAATGAACAAAATTCTCATGGGAAGTGTCTCTACTTTGACACATATTTGATGCCTAATAAAACCGTATATTTCAACATTAGTTGCATGGAGAGATCTGCTTTAATTTCACCCCATGCCTGTTTCAATCTATCTACACACAATACCAAAGAAGAAGAAGAAAAAGAGCACCGATCTCAAGAAGATGGATAAGACAACAAATATGAAGGAATACAAGAATGGTTCCTCCAAACCCTAGCGTGCAATTTCAATATCTCCCTTGCTTTCCCCTTTGTCTCATAACCATTATCAATTTGAAGCACGACACAAAGTTTTTCCACCACCCCAACTTTCAACATCTCCTGAAGAACCCTAGATGTTGCCGAAAATCTGCAGATCGGCGATAGTATCCTCACCGCCCTCTTGCTCGCCGCATGCGAAACCCTTAATATCTTCTTCGAAACCATCGCTAGCCCCGCTCCGTGGTCCAACAACTCCGCCCTCCCTTCGGCGCAATTGCAGAGCTGATCGAGAACGATAAATGCGAGCTCCGATACTCGCTTGGTCGAGCTCTCGATCAGAAGCATGACTAATACGAACACGGCTCCTCCTTCCACGGCTTTGATCCTGTTTCTTCCCCATGGACAAAGCTCCGCTAGGAGTTTCAATGCTTCCTTGGTGGCTTGTTGTGAGATCTGGTCTCGTAAAGTGCGTACGATCTCGGCCAGGAAT